AATTCAATCTCCACGTTGCATCATGTTCCGTATAATATACAATGTACAGAATGCGTAAAATACCGATATTACATTGAAAAAAAACAGGGTATATTTTTGAACTTTCATTTTTAAATTTGCTCTTCCTATTCTTTCATTCATCATTACATACATCCTGCACAATTGCACTGCTCCTAAATATTGGAGAACATTAGGAACACGAATAGACGTTCATATTTGAATATCACACTCGTCAATTACACGGGTATTCAGTTTAAGTTTAAGTTAACGTTTGCTTTAAATATCATAAAAGTTGATATTGTTCTCATATTCCCACATTTTCCTGTTATTTGATACATTTATTTTCCCCGTGGTGGGATGCTACGCCGTGCTTCCTGAGTCCCAATTTCGTCACGGCGTGTTACATGTTAATTAACATACCTGTTAATTTTAATTTAATAAAACAAACTAAATTAAAATAAAATTATATGTATTTCACTGTTTCTAAAACTATTTTAACGAAAACGTCAGGCTAGGTTTCATATTTAGATGATATATTTTGAAATATAATATTAGTTTTGGACATTAGTGTAGACCCGTACATTGAATGATAACGCATATATTTTTGACAATGGGACGTTATGGGGACATTGTCTTTATATATTGCATACCTTCATGAAATGAAAATATATATATATATATAGTAACATTATATAGTAGTTTAAAGTAACAAAAAATATATGTTCCAAACTGTACTAAATCATTTAACTAAACATAAATCGCGCAATAAATGTTACGGTACATGGCGTCTGCTACTACAATAGTGTTAATATCAAAGCTCCGTATTCAGAATTACAACTTCCCAATTTGGCGAGACCGCCGGCCAAATTAAACGTTTCAGAAGATGTGCAATTTGAGCATCGATTAATCACTGGATAGATGATGTGGCGTCTGGGTGTAGTCACAACCGTGTATTATACAGGTGCAGTGGTTCCCTGTATTAAACACTACAGCCCCAGGCGCAAAAATAGATTTGTTCGAGGCAGTTAATTTTGAAGCCGTTTTACAATCCTAACGATACAGGGACCCTCCGGTGTATTTTGCCTAGTATACTAGTTAGCTGCGTAATCAATGTCTCGAACGATACGCTTCGTAAAGTACTTCTAAAAACAGCTCGTATAATTGGTCCTTATTCGAAGACGCAAAGTAAACAAGATTTCTTCTTCCGAATTGGTTTGATGCGCGGCGTTTCAATATTACTTTTCGATTGCTTTTTTTTTCGAAAAAATAAGTTAAATTTAGATTTATGGTAGTGTATATTTTTGTAATTATCATTATTAGTATGTTTGGAATAATCATCGTAACATTCATCTCGTTTCTAAAATGTAAATTTCATTTACTGAATTGTCTATACCGAACAACTGATTACTACATATTAAATGTTGTTCCTGAACTATTTCCAGTAAACACGTATATATCAGCGAATGTTATTTAATAGAGCTACCGCTACCTAATAAATATCTCAAATTAGGAGAAAATACACCAGGATTTTGAAATAATCAATTTAATGCGAGCACGGTTACCACTTCACGTGTGTTCAATCAAAATGCTGGCCTTCGATTATAACAAACTCACTTACTGTTTTCACCGCGATAAATGCAAGACAACATACTAGATGTATATGTGGGTAAAATTGCTCGAATTAGAGAGAATCAATTTCAACTCGTAGCTTATTTTACACTCAATTTAGCAACAAGGACACCACCTGACACTGAAACAAGTATTTCCGGTTTCATCTCATGGCGCCTGATATGTTACCTATTGCGGCTCTTAGTTATCAACTGACTCCAGAGTAAATTACATTTTTCGTTGATAAACAATTTACACGCCATCACCAGGGTGAATGTCCGCGAACACGCAATAAACGATATATATAAGGTAATATTGAAGAACCGATCTTATCACAAAATAATTGCCAAAAATGATAGTCTATGATATGACCGGATTGTATTTTTACTGGTTTATCTCCACACATACTTCCGCTTCGTCCTAAATCGTATATACAGCATTAGTTTGATTTATTTTCTATATAAATGAATTCCATGTCACGCGCCAAAAGTCATGTTGTTCATATATTCGACCAACGTTTACAGTCACTAGAACTAAAGCCAGGAAGTGTAATGGTCCTTCACATACTTATATAAATCTCAATACGATGATGTATTCGTGCTAGAGACTCGCTACATTGAATATATTTTGCTTGTAAAGTTTTATTTTTGAATTATAGTGGATTGACTGCGAATCATCCTCATTTGTCACTTGCTTTTTTTCTTCCCGCATCTGAACAAAGTCGATAAAACGACGGTAAAGTTGCGTTCAATAGTCGGTGAGGTCGTTTTATATCGTAATAGAATTCTTAACATAACTCTTTCTTCTCTTCTAGAGAGGAAGTGCGCGTCATTGACTGTAAACGTCACTTCCTGTTGGCCCTTCACGCGTAAGATAATAAATTATACAAAATAGTTTGAACTCCAATGTAAGGATCACAGTTAGATCACTTCACACACATGTTAAATTTACAACATCCTTTTTTTAAAAAAAAAAGTTGATTTCCCTAATCATTCCCGAGCCAGCTTTACGACTTTCACTTTGAAGAGTCAGCTCACGTCCATGAACGACAACAAGACGCTAAGTGTTAAAATAGTCCAATGTAGATGTGTATCCTACCGGCTTCTAATGAGGAAATCACACTACGAAACAATGCGAGCTCCATCGTTGCAATTTTATGGAGGAACGCTAACGAATGCAGATTTCCACCTTAAATCGTAGAAGCATTAAACTGTGGACAAATTAATTTGATTTACTCGATTCCTCGGAGCTTCGCTAGCCCTTAGCGACTTATAGCGCTTTTCAGATTCGCTAGGTGGGTACTTCTTCAAGGGTCACTTCCAATTAAAAATGTCGATATCATAAATTTTGCTAAATCACCAACCGACACGTGTATATCATGCACACCCCCGAAAGCTGTGAGCGGTTATATCATACACCAGAGAAAAACATTTTTTTCCAGACTGAAAACATTATCGTACATTCCACTTGCTCGCTAACTTAGTCCTTATTGTGTTATCTGATTCTACCCCCTATTAGTAATGGCCCATCCCTAACTAGGTGTCGCATCCGATTCCATCCAGTGATGCCCTACCACCGTTCTAGCATTACATGACATTATTTTTTCTTTATGAATGTGCGCCATTGACTTGTAACTAGTCTGTATGTGACAGTCACCATGAAGAGGGTATCAAAAAACAGATACACATCTCCGTAATGATATTAGCATTAATGAGGAGACAGAAATCAACACCTTCTACGGAAGGTCGTGACGCTTGAACGATATTATGACGCGTGTGCCGGCGCTAACTGAGTCGCGTTTGTGATTTGCTCCACGTACACGCTGTTTAGTTCTCTTCTCAGCTCGGTAAACACTATTTATGAGATTACGATCAGGCATACTACTCAATAAATCTTTTTTTTTCCAAACTACTTTGTAATGCACGAAGTGATATATAAGTCCGTGCGCAAAGATTGGAATATCGAAATATATTTAACAATCCGCTGTAAGCGCTGCGACATCGTCACACGAGGGGAAACGATTTATCACAAAATTTTATTTCGTGCAAATTAAATTTTAATATGAGATTTTAAGGACGAATAGCCATTCAAAGTGTGCAATTACTGAGCTGTTCAGGACTTCTAATCACGCAGGGATGCGCTCCGCCGCGAGAGTTGTGTTCGTGTTTCAGGCAAATAACCTTATTCACTCCAGTTCGCGTCGGATGACGAGGTCGGCTCGACGTTGAATACGTCCGTCCGTTTTTTTTTTTTAAAACAGTTTAACATATTTCAACGCCTGTAGGGTGGACTATATTTAGAATGAGTTTCTAGTTTGTTCCTCGTATACTCGGCCCCGCAAGTAGCGCGTTGGGACATCTTGAAAACACACCCTAAATATTGGCGCTCTTACAATTGGCAATTACACTATCGCCTCCCGGCGTCAATTCAACTGGAAAGCTCCACACGCATGCATTTGATAACATTAACGGTATTTTAAAGGCCTATAAAACAACGAGGTTTTCAGGCGGGATTAGACATATGACATACGAGTTTTTATCCCAATTGAAATAAACTTTGTCGGAACTGCCGCCAAGATTTTTTGCAGCATAATTGGTAGCAATATACACGCTGTGTTGGCATTATTGGTCTGACTGTACGTGCAAGCTGGGGACGCGCCAATTTACGGCGGAGATACATTCAAGTAGCGTATCTCAAGTAGCACTCGAACCCTGAGAGAGAGAACATCTGGAAGTGGATGTGATAGATAATGCTCTACACGATTCGAATAAATATAACTAAATAATAGACGCAATATTTGCGGGGCAAAAAAATGATATCGCATATTAAACGAATCGAGTCGCTTACGATGTTTACACATGCGTATCCCAAGGGGCTAACATCTGAGAATTGACTCGTTAAATAACATAGTACCAAACGTTCATACGAAAGATTGAAACGACGGTTGTCCGCATAACTCTATAACCGAGTGCGATTGGGGATACGTTGTCAAGTGAATATTTCTTATCAGTACTCTAAACAGTCGTAAAAAAATATATGCGTAAAAACAAGTTTCCATGCTACACTTTTACGATCATCTTCATATTTATGCGAAGGGCGCTACAGTAGCGCGGCTATTCGCGTGGCATAAATAATATGGTAAATTTCAAGACGGAAAATAGTGAACATGAATTCGTTTTGTATATCTTCATTTCGGAACCGCAATGTCACGAAATGTGAAGACTTCTTAATTATTGAAATTCGGAGAATATTAATTCGGGGTTGGACAAATCTGTAATTATATTTATCGTGAACGTCTTTGCGTGCAAAATTAAATTGAAACAATAAATGAAAACAATTGTGGGATATTAAAAAAAGAAAACGAATAGAATAAAACGTTTTGGTATACCTACCGTTAATAACGTCTCGTTCGAAAGCTTGGTGTATAAACTGCCGAAATGCTAACGTGCTGTCGGGACCGATTTCTTTTCTGTAGTTGTCCTCCTTGCCCTGTATTTCGTAGTGGTTGCTCGCTGACTGTGATTCCAAAGATATATGCACAATATAGTTCACTTCGTTTGGGTACCTGTGTGCCAGTCACGTCAAACAATATGGGCGCGTATGTTTTTATACGTACAGAGGATGGTTGTTGGGAACTCGTGCAAACCGACGTATGATTGGCTAATGGGCACGCCTACTTAATACATAATTTGAATCTCTGTGGCCTCAATAAACGTATGGAAACCGTCAATCATTAGTGATCGTAGGTGAATCGCCTTTTTCCAGATTGTTGTTAATTTCTTGTTAAATTCTGAAACGACGTGTCTTCATAGATCAGTGCATCACAAAAGCATTTAAAATCATTCTAGTGTTGCAAAAGTTGAAAATCAATGCGTGTTGTTTACTTATAGGAAATTAAAACGAGAGATAAGGGACAAGCTAAATATATGCACTTCAATAACGACTGAATCGGTTGAAATATTGGAACGACAAAGGTGATCCCTAACGCCTCATTCATTATGTATGTGAAACAAGTCAGTATACTTTTCCCTGTTTCTGTTGCGTCTTCATCCAAACGTCACTCACTAACCGTGAACACATACCGTATTCGATGAACGGCAGTGTGCCTTATTTGACTCGATAGAAATGTGTGTACGAGCATCAAGATCGAAAAACCACATTCGAATCTAGTTGTGTGCGCCTAAAACAAAATGATTGTAGTATACAACTCCAAGCGTTATAACAATCTAATTCATCTCCTAGTGCTCAGCCCTAGTTTATATAGTGGTTTTTGATTTAGTGTGAATCGCCAATAAAATTACGTTCTGTTTTGGAGCTTAAGCCTATATAGAAAATTGTCCGATTTTAGTATCGTGGATGAGCTTAATACGTGTATGTTCGTGGGTATTAACGTACCAATGTGCGGAGTATATCATGTACTGTATTAACCCAGTGTTAAGTAGTGTATGGTGCTAGCAGAGGTTTCAGTCTTTGTAAGTATGCCATCTTCACGGCACATGACGGTGAATAACTCAAATTAACACGAAAAAATGGCGGGAGGGTGTATAATTAATGTCCTACGACTTTATACTTAGCATTTCGGATATTGGTGGTCGTAGTAAATATCAATGACGTACAATAATCTTACGAGAATATGTGATTACAATAAATGGTGGGTAATTTTTTTTTCCAACGCACTTCAGCGTCCCACGCATAGTTGGAGGCATGTGAAGACGCGTGGTCAATTAAGCGAATCATTTTTCTAGTGGGGTTAGTTGATTGCCGTATAATGAATAGTATAATACACCATTTCTTGCTTACATCATGCCAACTATCGCCTCGAAAATGATTTTCTGGTTGACTAAATTGAGTGACAGATTGGCTGGTTGGCTGACTGATTGACATAGTTGTTGTACTGTGAATTTACTTCTTTATAGTACAGAAAAGGAAAGTTAGTAAGACATACAAAAAGTGTAAAGAATAGGTCTAACCACGAATGTAAAACAGCAATGCACAAGCAAACTTGAAATATACATGCTTATCAATCAATGAAATGCACTACACAACTGAGATGTTCTTTAGGTGGGAAACTCGTCTTACATCATAATAATCAAGACATACTCAAGTAGTTCTTGTCTTTATAAAACAATCACGGTCTGCAAATTCATAACGTCTGTAAACTACTTCTTGTGAGTTACGGCAAGTTATTCGATAAAGGTTGATAAAAACGTTTGGTTAACCAATAAGGCATGTGAACAATAAGACCTGTTAAATCGCATGGCCTATGACATGTATTCGCGGGGATTTGACTAATGGTGTTCAACACGTTTGAGAAATTATTCATGGTAAAATTGTACATGCAGTCTGATGAGGAGCTGATCATTTCATTTCGAGATCAGACAAGCATATCAGGTAATATATATTGTCGAAAGACAAGTTATGTATTGAAATGCACGTATTTGTCATTTGTGTAAGTCAAATAGAACGACTTTCTGCATACCCTTTACAGTGTCTGATGAATTTATGTTTCATACGAATAAGGAAATGAAAAGAACATTAATTAATTCGCTTTTTTAATCACAAAACAAGTCTTAGCGCTGCACTGAGATAATGAATTATTTTTATGCAATGCCACGCGGCATGTGAATACAACATTAGATATAAAATGCCGATTTAGACAAGAAAGGGAAAGCTCTAATAGTAAATGGGCGTTATCATGACATGAAACAATGTGAGTTAAATCTACTATAATACGTAATTTAAATTATTCCCGCGGCTGGGCTTTCAAAAAAAGGTGTAAAAAATAAAATTGTTGATTCACGAAATGTACACCAATATAACACATACAGTTACAGTTGTCACAATGGAATGAACACATCTCATACAACCAATTTCACTATTGTATAATATTACTCCATAGTTTCAAGGAGCGGGTATTGCCTTATTGGCCAGACTCAACAATCAATGTTCACAGAACAAAAACACAATCTTAGTTATCATCATGATATGAATAAACCTGATAGAACTTAATACAACATACCGACATACCAAAGCAATCAAGCTAACTGATTTAAAGATGTAGTTCTACCATGCCGAACAGACGATGGCGTATGTATTTGTTTTAGTCAATATGAATTCGATACAATTATTTACAACATAAATCGATAAATAATATAAAGTTACCATAATATCGAACTTGTATTTACATGATAATACACGTAATGAGAGATGTATATTTCTGAAACCTATTTTCAAGTTTATTTATTTTATTTTTTTATTTTGTTTTAAGTTTATTAACATCAGCTTGTCTGCCGTAATTACATGAAGAACCAGAAGGCAAAAATGAGCGTAGTCAAATATCGATGTCAAATACAGTAAAGTTAAGCACTGGAAGTTCGAAAAGATGTATAAAATGAGAATTCAATAGTCTTAAATCTTCTCAATAAATCACATTAAAATAAGACAGTCGGTGGCAGTCAATTAAAAAAGGTCACACCTGTGCACTACTGACCAGCTTCGTTTGTTAAACTTGCAACAAAAACGGCTTAGTAATTACCAATGGACCACACTTCTGGTGCCATCAAAGGCTGAAGTCATTACGCATTATTGAGATGTGATTAGTGTTAAAGAACAGGGGGGACCAGCGAACATCTTTTTCAGTTCCACATTTTTAGGTTGGTGTTATGTTTGATATTGCACAATGGTGACACCTTTCAGGGTACTGCCATGTGAATAAGGTGTATTTAATTTTATTTGATTTTCAATGTTACGCGTAAAATTAACAATGTTAATGGATGTTTCGAGCTGGTAATGTTGTTGGAAATGGTGTCGTATTGCTGTGAAACGTGTAACAGGATTTTAAGAAAGAAAGAAAGAAAGAAAGAAAGAAAGAAAGAAAGAAAGAAAGAAAGAAAGAAAGAAAGAAAGAAAGAAAGAAAGAAAGAAAGAAAGAAAGAAAGAAAGAAAGAAAGAAAGAAAGAAAGAAAGAAAGAAAGAAAGAAAGAAAGAAAGAAAGAAAGAAAGAAAGAAAGAAAGAAAGAAAGAAAGAAAGAAAGAAAGAAAGAAAGAAGAAAGAAAGAAAGAAAGAAAGAAAGAATTATATTGTCCACAGAAGTCTTTATATTCCACATAACGCGTTTGAACCCAGCAACCGGCTACGCAATGACGTCACACTCACTCTCTTTAGTCAAATTGATTTCATCTGTCGATTTGACATGTTACACAGACAAGCGTAGACTACAGCTTTGTTTGCATGAGTGACAATATTCTAAGATATGTTTACTTTCCAGTTACTGCCCATCTTCGACATTCAACAGCAACGCGCTGCTCAATATGTCACTGTCAAGATGCATGGTTTGATCACGTGATCACATCAATCGAACCACTTTGTTGTTGTTGCTTCGCTGCTTCCAGGAAATTGCTGGAGAGCATGTTTGCGTACTTCCGCTACAAAATACAATAAGAGTAATGTAATAAAATAAAATAAATGAACGACTACGGATTAAAAACTACAAATACGTACGTAAAACATTCAATCATATAATATACTTTTTTTAATCGAGGTTAGGTGCACAAAAGTGATCTTTGGAGTGTTCGATTATTCATCCGATTGTCCAACTTCTTTCGTACACATACTAAAATATTGAAAAATATTTTCTATCGGAAATATTCTCCAGTTGGAGAGAACTAAAACAGGCGATTCTATCAACAGCAATTTGTAAACAGCGGGTAGTCAGCTAAAATTACATTGTTATGTGTTGCGTTGTAAAGAGTATAAAACGCATTTCCATCCGGTGGCGGATCCAGCAAAATGTATTGGGGGGCCAAGCTTTGCTTAAGATATACGAAGCGAAAATCGCTGAGAAGCTATGTAATCCAGATGATATGAATCGTCATGCGTTTGGGGGGCATGGCCCCCATGGCCCCCGCTCTTGATCCGCCACTGTTTCCATCAGGATAGGCAAATCGAATCTGCACGAATAACACTGTGTAGTTTGGCGCCGAATCGCATGTCGTTGTCCCGAAAACAGAAATGACTATATGACACTGGAGCAACCCTTGGTTAGGGGTTAAAGTACATTCATACAACATATCAATTGATGATTTAGGTTCTAGGGGTATTTGCTCAAATTACAGTAAGTGGCAAACTACGGCGATGTTCCTGACGGCAAATGTACTCAATCTTTATTTTATCTATCGATGTAATCTTTCTTACAATATTAATATTAATCCGTGTGCGATAACATGACGTAGGACAGTAAACGTGATTGTTATGAACACGTTTTATTGATGTCAGCTTTGATCGTGAAAATAGCATTTGACGCCATGTCGAAAAATTAAAAGTCATGTATATATCACCCCAATGAACATGAGCACAGCTTGTTTAATCAACAGTGCAACGTGATTTACACTGTCTAACTTGGAAATGTACATCTAACCCATACTAGCCGAGCATGAAATATGTTTAAGGTGGCGACCTTACCAGCGCCGCAAGAAAACATAGCATCTGAAATCCTCCGTCGTAAATCATGAAGGACGAAATATAGTGACTGCTCGCGGCGAGGAAAATAACAAGGTAAAAAGACATAACACCAG